AACAGACCGCGCACACGGGTCAAATTGTCGTCGTGCTGGTTGACGCCATCCAGCGCGGGGTTCATCGACTATCTCTTCCCGGCCTTCTTTAAACGCTTTCAACCACCGCGAAACTTGCGAATACGATGGAGCACTATCCCCGAAAGCTTGCACAATCAATTGGTAGGTCTCTGCAAGATATTTGTTCAGTTTCGAACAAAACTTTATAGCGTAACGTTGCACGAGTGACGATTCCATCGCGTTTCGTAACGCAGGCACTAAACAGGGGTGCGCGGAAACAACGATCTTGACGCCCACCTGCTCGGAGTAGATTGGCGAAGGCATCGCGTGAAGCTGATAGTCCCCCCCTCCCCCCATCTAATCCAACCGGTCGGAACTCTCTACGGCCACTTTAAGTACCAACACAAAAGAAATTGCATTACTTTCCGGACACACCTTGTAAATCCACTATAAAAAATGAGGGTAATGAGAAAAGAAATCACTAATACTCTTAATATTGACGTTTGGGTGGGAACTTGAGAAACTTCCTGGAGACCTCGAACCTCGCTGTCCTTCTCCCTGCATTAATTCCACCTCGTGTTGGAGTAGGGCTCAGTAGGAGGAAGTGGCCGGTTATGAACAGATTAGTGTGCGTGCACACGTACACGGGCACACGCGCACCGCTGGCCTATGCATGTGAGTCCCCCCTTACCCCCAACCGCCTTGCCTGCAAGCCCCCGCTCAACCTCCCGTTACCGCAACGTTCCTTCCCCACCCCCCCGCGAACGACACCATTGAGATCGGAATTTGCCGTCCGCCATTCGATTCCACTAATTTTGCCATCCGCCACTCGATTCCAAGAATTGCGTCGACACCTTTGTTCCCCCCGCGGCGCAACTCTCCCGGCGGAATATTCGCGACGTAACTCCGAGAATTCACTTTGTCCTTCGGTTTTTGGAGGACAGCCGTTAACTTCTTCGGCGCAGGAATCCATCGGCTCTCGTCGGCCATTCGACACCAGAAGATTCGCGATGTAATTCTGCGAATTTGTCGACTTCGGAATATTAGGAATCCGTTGGCTCTCGTAGACGTTAGACGATAGACACTGTGGAATCTTCTAGAACCTTACCTCGAAAGCTTCTGTCTCTTTCCAACCATCAACGATTCCAGGAAATCCCCTACCATTTTTTTAAACAGAGAGGGCTCCCTGTATGAAAGGGCTGCATCGCAACGTACTCATTATTCAAGTGATCACAGTCAGGTTATGCGGAATAGTGAGAAGCAGCGCGAAGTTGCAATCTGCATAGAATTGCTTCTATAAAGCATCAAGGAAGTGAAGCAGTTGATCAAATCGAGGATCGAACGTGATCAGATTACAAGAAACTTGAAAATTGTTCGTCTGAATTGAAAGCAATGGATTTTTCAAAAACCAACAAAGCGGGCCACGTGGAGGATCTTCTATCAACGAAGAAGTTTTCCGAGTTGAAAACTGACGTGGATTATAAAATTACCGGCATACGACAAGTTCAAACCAAATATGAGATGAGATTGCTGGTGAGCATCGAGAAGAGCTTCTCTGTATTTCTACTGGCAAGCATGGCGAAGGCGTTGAAGGATGACGACGATACGTTTCAAAACATGACGCGTGCCGCCGAGGGGAATGGTCTTATCGTGCGGTACCTTGGTAAGCACTATGACCATATCGAATTTCAATGTTTGGAATGTGCCAAATGATTTTTGGAGTGTGTCAAATAAATACAGATAGCGGATTATATTACTGTATCTTTATTTCCGATAACCAGACCCTTAATAGCTTAACATGTTCGGTCGAACAATTAAAATGCAGAGTATTATGATGCAAACATCGGGTGTTCGTCATATTTCGTAACTTTTCCAACGATGCACAATTCAGATCTCCTAAGTCAACGATGCGATCGGGTTGTCCTGTAAGATTCTCTAACCACTTCTTCTTCTCCAATCCTTTAACGTAGATGTTGGTAGCATCTCGCAGAATGCCTCGAAGATTATTTTTGCTCTCTTATACGGTACGTAGCACGAAGTCCAAGATATCCCGTGAAAATTTCGTTGCAGCCACAACTTCATGCACTTACACTTGGCTGGAAGACGAAGGATATGGAGCCGGGACTGACAGGGTACGCCACCGTTGACCGGCTCGACGACCGGCGGCGTCATTAGGTTTTTTGCTCCGGTGGTGGAGTGAATGTACAAGGCGTAGCACACCTTCTTGACGTTGGCCCGAACTGTCGGTGATAATAGCAGATGGTTGTATCTTTTGTGCGACTCACTGAGTGTGAACGTGGCCTGGGGCGTTCTGTGGACTTGTTATCGGCGTTCGCGGTGCTGAGGGCCTGTTTGATGAGTGTGGTTAATTCTATTACCGTGTTTTCTAGGGCTATCAACCTTTCCGGTTCGGAGTTGTGATTCGTTGTTCTGTGAGGAAGAGCTGTTTCTACCCTCATGACTTTGGAGGGTAGTGTGGCTTCCATGATTTTGTCAGCTATCTGAGCCAGTTTGTCCGTGTCTACACCTTCACTTGCCGACAGTACGCAACGAACGTTTATGGGCATTCGTTTCATCCAAAGTGTCCGGAGGACGTCGTCTGGAAGATTGCTGCCTGCTAGTGACTGCATTTCTCTCAGTAATTGAGGGGGTGTTTTATCCTCAAGCTCCAGTTCTGTTAATAGTTTTTGGAGTTGCCTTTCCCGGGAATCTGTAAAACGCTGAATTAGCAAGCGTTTGAGTGCATCGTACCTGCCGCTTTCTGGAGGATGTCGAAGGACGTCGGAAACATGCTGGAGGACTGTTGTGTCGAGTACGGCTACGACTGCGAAGTATCTTGTTGTGTCCGCTGTTATTCTACTTGCGTGGAAGTGTGCTTCCACTTGGACAAACTACAATTCGGGGTCTGCTTGCCAGGATGGCGGTAGTTTAGTCAGTCGGACTTGGTTTACCTCGTGATTGATGTTGTTGTTATTATTGTTGTGTGCCAGGGTAGGGCTTGCTTCGGCTTGGCCACCTCCCAGCAGATTGGGTTGAGCGTGACCGGCTTGTTCGGCTTCGTCTGCCTGAGCGCGTGGCGGGGTCCCTTGTTCGTTAGCCGCCGTGAGGAGTTTTGCGTGGAATGGACTTGTTCGCTCGTCGGGGTCACCAGTTGTGGGGTGGTCGGATATATTCTCCTACTATCACTGCTAGAGGAATAATGATCCACGCACTTAGTCGATAATTAATACATTTATTATCGCAGAGAAGAACGGGGCTCCACGTGCACGCGGGGACCGGTCACTCACTCACTCGTCACTTTCGCGTATAAATAATGTGAAATTTTATGTTTATTTAGTAATTACTTTTTAAAATGCATGAGGTTTAATCAAATTGATATTTGGAATTCAGGAGAATACAATACATATGAAACCAATCTCAAATATTGGAATTCAACTACTTAATCTCTCGGGTATATAAAGTGGAATTGATTTAAATTTGAAGTTACAAACTTATATTCGAAAAAAAGAATTCAAGGCAATTGAATGTACAAATTTTTTAAAGGAACTGAAAGGAATTAGGCATTGCTACAATGTATTCCTCTGAACGAAATACAAAACAATTTAATATCGACACTTTTTGCTGGACTAGAAGGAATTAAACAAAGCATAAATATATTCCTCTCTTCGGAATTGACCAAAAATCAGAGTACACAAGGAGAATAGAATATGATTTGTTCACAGAAAATATATTCCTGTTGTGGGAATTGGACCTAGAGAGAAAAGTCAGATATTAAATAGAATAGAAAAATCATCACTTTTACGTTGAAACTATGAGACATTGAATCCTATTGTATTCAAGCCTTTTTACCGGGATACTGAATTGCAAACTTTTCCATTAATCATAATAAAGAAAAATTAAAATGAGACTGTTACTTCTTTCCCATCGATAATGGTATTAACCCTTTCGTTACCTTGGACGAGATATCTCGCGACCCAATACTGGCCGATTAACGCTTTTGACCAGATATCTCGCGATCCGGTAGTAGCTGTATTTATTTCTTCCTTTTAGCTATACGAATAGAATTAGTTATAAAATATATTCATCTAGAATGTGAAAATATTGGTGCTAGAAAGCTAGATTATCGTCAAAAGCGTTAATCCGCTACTACCGGATCGCGAGATATCTCGTCCAAGGTAACGAAAGGGTTAAAAGGCTCGAGAGATTCAATCTGATTTGTAATATACTGCTTTTCGTTGAGCGTAGACGATTCCTATGTCCGTGGTCACGCTGTCATGCCTCGGAATATATCTCCCGGGAGAACTCATAGGGTCAGCAGCTACATTAGTGAGAAGTCCACTGGATGACAGGTCCAGCATACTCCTGTAAGAACTTCTTACATTGCAATTACGCAAAAGAAGGTGGGGGACATAATGGATGAAGGGACAGAGAAATGAAAAAGAATAGATAGTCTTCTGGCTTGAGTTAGATGCAGATTGTCCTCCTTAGTTCAGAAATAAGCCCAAGTTGTGCTTAAAGAAGAATTAAGTGTTTCTTCAACCCTCCCTGCGGCATAACGCGACATTGCCGGAAGAACGAAATATCAGCTCGTTTTCAAACAAATCCCATGGAATTTTACGCGAAATTGTATATACATAAATATTTTTAGCTGGAAGTAAATAAGACCCTATAATCAATATTTTCTAATAGTATTTGTTACTCGTCAGTTTGAACTTTGAAGTGCAACGAAAAGAAATGTTATTTAAAAGAAGGAACCTTAAGCATAAAGAAAAAATTAATGTTCTCATAAATTCTGGATATTCTCGGTAAGTTACGGTATGTTTCCGAGTTACCTTCTGCAATTTTATGTTACTGAGAATTTTCGAACACTAGAAATATCTCCTCATTCATCTCTGTCGGTACAAAATGAAAAATTTCATAATATACGGATTGAACGTAATAGACTTATTCCTTTGATTTCTAGCTCGTCAAGTGTCATTCCGTTACACTTCTATTTGCAGAATTTCACCAATAACAAAATAATTGCTACGGCTTCTACGGCGGGAGAGGATATGAAGGAAAAACTTGAAGAAGCTTGTGCGTTTATATTATCGCAGATGTTATCAGACGTCCGACAAAATATCCACAGGAATCAAATAAATATTGTAGAAGTAAATGGACAACACTGTGAGAAATTTACAATTAGTGTGAGTATAGTTTTTTAGTTATAATTTTTCAACTATTTAGAATAGGAAATTTTAGATAAATTTTGTCAGGATTGGTGACCGTTATGCAAAAATGTAAATATAATTATACTGCATCCGATTAAAAAAAAAAAAAAAAATACGAAGAACCTCATTAGGTTCCATACGAGTTTACGTAAAACTTGTCATTTATCAGGACCCATTTCATTGAAAAAAAGTGTGTTGAAATCTTCAAGGTGATATGAAAGGCGCTAAGAAATGTAACCGATGTCGAAAAAATAAAATCCTTCTATACCCTGTATCCTTTTTGGTGGTAATGTCATTTTGAATACTCAAGTGGTAACATAAGCTGGCGAGTTACGTTACCGATATTTATATTTATGTTGCAGTCTGATACACTCTACGTTAAGAATTATACGAAATGATGCGTTCGAGATTTCATTTCAGTAGAATAATTATTACAAGATTTAAGTAAAATCGCTGAAATTCCGTGGATTTTTAATTTTCTGTACTCTAATGGCCCACGCCATCTGGAACGTATAGCTGCAATTAAAGTTTTGCTCTAAAAACTCGTGTTACCCACGGGACAAGCCGGCAATCCCTTACAATTGTTCGTGAAAGTATTTTCCATATTTTCTCATCTGACTTTTATAGTATTCCAAATTGTTCTAGTTAGGTCCTGAAACTCTTTATGTTCGATTCTGTTTTCAAGAAACTTAAAACAGAAAACGTGCATGGATCGAGCCATGTTGGTTGTAATCTATGGTAAATAATTTTTTTTTAATATAAATGAAATGTTATGAGTTTCAGGACCTACCTTAGGGCCTCCATATTCACGTAACAAAATTTGAAACGAATCGATACATCCATTACGGAGAATACTTTCATGAACAATTTGACTTCTCAGATATATACAGGGTGTAACAGAACTCGTAGTCACGGCTTATATAATACTATCCTTGTTGAAAAAGGAGTCGAAAAGTCCTGTAGTATTTTTTCCTACAACGTATATATTTCCTGTAATAACTAATTGAAGCACAGCCAATCAATCGCGTTCCCCAACGGTTTGCATAACGGAAAGGATGCCAGTAGGGCTCAGTTCGACTGTCTGGGGAGTAGCAGCCTTCCCGGCGTCCTTTCCGCAATGCAAACCGTTAGGAAATGCGATTGATTGGCTGTGCTTCAATTAGTTATTACAGGAAATATATACGTTGTAGGAAAAAATACTACAGGACTTTTCGACTCCTTTTTCAACAAGGATAGTGCTGTATAAACTGTGACTACGAGTTTTGTTACTCCTGGTATAGCCAATGAGAATAATAGTATAGTTGGTAACACTGTTTTGCGTAGAAGACGTTTTTGGAAGAAAAGTCCGACTTGGCCCAGGTCATAAAGCATCTGCGTGCCGCATGTGTTCCCACAGGACTCTGCTTCAGTGCAAAAGAAAGAAAATTCTGTACCATGCATTACAAAATTATTCACGACTTCGATACGATACGTAGTTATATGATTATTATTAAATAAATGTATTATTCTTCGACCTAACATAGTAGATTCTTAATACACATTCGATGAGCTGGGCATACTAAGAATCTAAGATAAAAAGATTTTCTGATAATTTATGATATCTCGGAGTAAAATGAAAGTAGGATCCTGATAATAAAAAGATGAACATAACAAAAATTTAATTTTATAGGTTTTAAAAAATGAAAATTCTTAAATTCTTGAGAAACAATATGAAGATTTGACATTTTTCATTGAGATAAAGTAAAGAAACAATATGGTGTTTTTTGCGCAATAGGTTTGGTTTTTCAACATTATTCCACGTTGATCTTCCTAATGAATATTTGGTGCCGTATTGGAAGAAAGATTGACAAATATATCGTGTTGTGCTTTTAATTTTGATACAACCAATATATTATGATCTAAAGTGTCCACACTGAGAAAACAGTTGATTTAATCCAAACGAAGTAATATGTTTAATCTGCTTTTATTAAAGCAAAACAACTGTTTGTATCAATCGATAAAATGTGAATTTGATTTTGGTAAAAAACAAATTTTCACGTTCTTAAGTAAAACAGATTATTTCTTTGACGTAACTGGCTTAATTTAAATTAATAATTTCATTAAAGTAATTAAACAATTTGTTTAGGTGTCTTGTATTTAAATTAAGAAAATAATTTATTCGATTCCAACAAACATTCAGAGGTGCCGCAAGGTACTTTGGAGTAAATAGTCTTATGGGTAATACTTTAATGAGCTTAAAGAATTATAATCAGTGATAGGAATTGTAACATTATGTAAAAAAGGAGTGAAAAAGTTATAATAACGTCACGTTCTTAAATTGATCGGTCATCCAAGCTTCTTTGCCTCCGTCATCGCTTCTTCTCTTACAATGATCGTTTAAATGAAACATATATTGAATTGAAATGAAGCAAACCATTTGATTACATCAAACAAACATGGTCAATTGAGAAATATGTTTGAATCAAATATATACTTACTTATTCGAAAAATGAGTTTCATTCAAACATATTTATTTTCAGTAAAAAAATCGTTTTCTCAGTGCAATCGGGCCTTTCGTTTCCTTCAAACAGATTTTTGTTTTAGTGTTTAATATAAATTCGAATGATACCATAGTGTCATCATACCATGTCTAGATGATGACTATAGAACTCGTGCGCGTTGAATTATTCGCCTAATTCCTCGTTGCGCATGTTTTCGAGACTGGTGTTGTGATGAAATTCACAGCCTCTTAGAATCCGTAATATAAGAGTTTAAAGTGTTTCGTAACGTTTCTCACACTGAACGAGAGCAGTTAAGGAAGGCAAGAGGTGACAGAGACGTGAAGACGTTTGTTCACACACGCGTGATCTATCAAACGTGAAACATCGTGCGCCTTTAGCGTCTCCTTTTAATACTTCTATATTCAGCGGCAGTGATTATTTTTTAAATGCCATTCTAATAGTATCCAGTTCTGAAGGAGCAAACATTTTTCATGGAAAGAGATTTCCTTGGTAAACTTATTTCGAATAACCAAATATTATATGAAATTTATTATGACGTTGATTTTGTGATAATCTGCTGAATTACGAAAAAAGATACGGTTTTATAATACATCCTCAATAGCAGAAACTCGTAAGTTGTGAAATATTGCAACCTTTTTTACGATTAAGAGTTTTTAACAATAGTTGGGATAAACCTATAACTACACGAATCAAATCACTTCGAGGAATTTCATATAATTCGCTAGTTTTGTACATTTTACAAATCTTCCCTTTAACGATTAAATGGGGCTAACAACAGCAGGAATCATTTTATTAATGAAATATTCTGTAAAGTTCAGTAATATTCAATAATTTCTCAAGATTATGTACATGTAGTAATTAATTATAATTAATCATGAAAAATGTATTCCAAAATGTTCTTTGCAAGACTAACATCCCAGGCAACCCATGAAATGAATTATACGTAAATTAATCGTCCAAATTAGATATATAGGTACAGCAAATGTATATCGTCTATCATCCACCTAAAAAAATCTATTGTAGATGAAAATTACATATCCACTATTGATCTACAGATATTTACTTATTTCTTGACGCATACAAAATATATAACAGCTCTAGTTGACATCTATCAAAGATTAATCAACATCGCTGAAAATACGTTTAGAAAAATAAAAAGATACCTCATGTAACCTAACATTTTTCACACATACTTAATGTTTATATTTAAATTACAACTTGATAGAACTGTTAATTTCGTTCATATTCTGATTTTTTCTTTACTTCCTATTTGGCTGGCGACCATACATCATGATTTTTTACTACTGTGTAAATTATGATGTATTACCAGGCACTATATGAAGTATAATATACTTATAGTGAACGTACAAATTAGGACATAAGTACAGAAAACTTACATTATCTGTGGTATGCATAATAAAAATATCCCATGAATATATATGTAAATCTTTTTCACGCCTATATTTTCAGTACATATATCATAGAAGTCTCAATACCCTATATAGAAATCTAAACTATTCGAAAACGTTAAATTGATAGTTCATATTCAGATTAATAGTTTATATTCAGTTTTCAGAGACGTATAAAAATGTAGTTATACTAAAAAATTGAGCTCATTTAAATGAAATATCTTTAAATAATATTCATAAAATTGATGCATTTTTAGTATATAAGGTTGCACTAAAATTATGAGTTTATATACATTTATTATACATTTTTAAATAAAAAGATGACTCTATAAGATACTGTTACAATTTTTTAAATGACTTAATTTTACGATCACTTACGAGTTTTTTTTTAAGGATGAGTCTACAACAAGATGCAATATGTATCTTTAGCACCGATCGAGAAGTACCGGAGCGGTCTTGATAAGTTCGAAAAATATTCATTCCTTCGTAGGCTTTGCCAGCATCATGGTTAGCGTTCCTGCTTTCTACCTGTACGACCCAGGTTCAAATCCCGATAATTGCAGAAAAACTTTTCTGTGTCAAAACAGCAGGATTTGTCTGCATAGCTGTACTGAACATGTTCTCAAACAGACTCAATGTGCTCAAAAAGTGTTATGACTTTAATTTATTTTTTTTACAAATACGTGTGAATATCTATAGAC